TCTGATTCTTACTTTTTAAACTTATTGTATCTTGGAAATCTTTCCATATTATTACTTAGAGAGCATTTTCACTTTTTCCTTTCTTTCGTATTTTTTACACGGTATAGTAATACATTTTGTGGAGTATACATTTTTGGACCAGTCCTTTACTGATGGACATTGGAGTTTTTTAGTCTTTTCAAAGCTACCATTTAAAATGCTTCAGTGAAAGGGGCAGGAAAGGTAAAACTAAGACAAGCAACATTATCTAGAAAATCTCCAGATATGAAGTTGTGATCTAGGAGGCAGGAATGAAAAAGTTCTGGCTCTGTCTTGTGATGGAGCACATCTGCAGTGCCAGAGGCTTGCATTTTGACTACACCTGTTCTAGTTGGAGAAAGAAGGAAAACAACTAGTGTGGTGAAACCTCAACACACCTGAGCTTGTTTTACTGCGAAGTCTCGGGGCGAGGACAGATTGACAGCTGGTGTATGAGCTGCCCAAAGGTAAACTCTTTTAATAAAGAAATTGATGGCATGATAGATGGAAGTGAGATAAGGGCTATTATCCACAGGTAAAGTTCTTTCAACAGACTGCTACCAATTCTCATATATAACTTGCAGTAGAAAAAAATTAGTTCAACAGCACTATCTATTCTTAAACCTTTAAGTAAGCTCTGTCACCTTATCAAAGAGCAAAAGAGAATATTTGTCTTTGTACCTTGGACACATGTCAAATAAAAAACCTCAGCTAAGGGTAAAGTGTTTAAAAAAAGAAATGAAATATCTTAAACATATGGTATTTAATACTTTATTAAATGCTTATTTTGATGGCAGGATCAAGGAACAGTTTAATCTTAGGCTTTCTAAGGTTTATAATCACATATGTGGGATGTTATGTCATTTTTGATATGGATTCATGGCTTTACACTGTTGATAAATAAGAAATAGCTTGTAAGCTATTATAGATCATCACTGTACTTTAAAAAATGGAATATAGCTGAAAAATGCACATATATGATTTACATCAGTGTTACACAAATGTGACTTTAGGGATTGACAGTGAAATGTAAGTTTTTTTTGTTTTGTTTTATTTTTTGAGATAAGTATAGTCTCACTCTTTTGCCAAGGCTGGAGTGCAGTGGCATCATCATGGCTCACTATGGCCTCAATTTCCCTGGCTCAAGCAGTCCTCCATCTCAGCCTGCCAAGTAGCTAGGACCATAGTTGCATGCCACCACACCTAGCTAATTTTTTATTTTTTGTAGAAATGGGGTCTCCCTATGTTGCCCAGGCTAGTCTTGAGCTCCTGCGCTTAAGCGATCCTCCCGCCTTGGCCTCTCAAAGTGCTGGGATTACAGATGAGAGCCTCCGTGCTCAGCCCAGTATTTTAAAATGTTAATGTTGCAAAGGATTTTCTGATCTGCTGGTTAAGAAAGAAAACTTAATATTACTTCTGATATTCAGCTATAAACTCAAGGGTTGTTTTGGAGGGACTGGTTCTTTATTTCAAAAAGATAGCTGTCAATATTCAGTATCAAAACAGTTGCAGTATTGATTTCTCTTTCTCCCAATCACCCCAAAGAGACTACATCAAAGGAGAGTATGTTTTAAGCCAATAAGTTGCAGGATGTACACCTAACAGACCTCATAGAAACCTTACCAGAAAATGGGAACTGGTTAGGGAAAGAAACTTTAAAAGATCAGCAAACTGCCAATCCACGGACTGCAGAGGCTGTCATAGCCAGATTGGGGTGGCCAGGGTGCCACAAACCCAAAGAAGCTAAGTTTCAAAATAATACAAAATTTTAAAAAAGTTTTATACGTAAGGTATTCAAGATTTCTCCAGCACTGACTGATACAAAGCACAATGAGATGGCACTTTTAGAGAGAGCAGCTTCAAACCCAGAAAAGGGCAATGAGATGAGTTTCATATGGCTAAATTAGCGGCAAAAACATAATCTTTCTTTCAGGGAGGTAGGAAAGCAATTAAGTGGTCACCTCAACATAAGGGGCACATGATCCGTTCTGTAAGCAGCTGGGAGGACAAAAATTTTGTCTCAGAGGTCTTACCATCTTAATTTGGTCGCTTCTAATGAAAAAAATAGAAATAAATTTATTTATTTATTGAGATGGAATCTTGCTCTGTCGCCTAGGTTGGAGCGCAGTGGCATGATCTCATCTCACTGCAACCTCTGCCTCCTGGGTTCAAATGATTCTCTTGCCTCAGCCTCCTGAGTAGCTGGGATTAGACGCCTGCACCACCACACCCAGCTAATTTTTGCATTTTAGCATGTTGGTCAGGCTGGTCTGGACTGACCTTGTGATCCACATACCTCAGCCTCCCAAAGTAATGGGATTACAGACCTCTGTGCCTGGCCGTCCAAATATATCTTAAAGCTGAAAACATGAACAGCACATTTTTTGTTGTTGTTGTTTTTGTTTGGCTAACTCCTCCTGGAATCACCTTTTTGGTTTGGCTGGTACTTTGTACAGTGTGGGTCAAGATGGCCAGGGGGAGACCTATGTTAATTTTAGCTAAATAATTATAAGCTTGCGTGGCTCATAGTACACTGAAGTTTAAACACCAAACTAAACTATATTATTGGTGCAGTTAATTAGAAATCAAGTGGCAACAGGAGGCCTAAGGTAAAGACCATCCAAGAGTACAGTAATACCGGGGAACACCTCCAGGTGGTTGCAGAGCAGGGAATACTGCTCTGGTCCCACGAATCCCTTCTCAACATGGAGACTGCATGAGGGCTTCTTAAATAGGGCTTATGCCAAGATCTCTGAGAAGGGAGGCGACCTCTGCTCACAAGATCCGGGAGGGTCTTTGCAGATGGGAGCTGACAAGGAGGAGAAAAGCCTTGCAGGGCAGAAATCATGGAACACCTTAGGCTCTGCCTGGAGGAAGGAGTGATTTTAATTGCTCTATGTACTCAATGCTTAGGAGATAAAAGCCTCTTGATGCATGGGTGTGGCTCCTCAACAGCTATACTTCTGATGCAGCTGCACCCTGATAACAATTGGTGATAAACTCAGAGTACTAGTTTAGCATGAATTAGAAGGATCTCTAGTGCTGTTAAATGCTCAGAGCACTAGTTTAGCATGTCTTAGAAGGATCTCAAGTGCTCTCTGCACTCCTTCACCCTTTCGTTCCACATCCATAGGATCAATGAGATTATGCACATAATAACTGTTTGAACCCCCGAGCTCGGCCAGCGTGGTTCCCATGCTTGCATTGGTCCCCTTGACCCATGCTGTAAATTCTATTCTTTTGTCTCTGTCTTTATTTCCTTTTCTCAATCCCTCATCACCGCCAGGACTAAGGGCACCCGCATATGGGTTTGGGCTGGTTCCCAATATACAGAGCAATGAGATTTCTCATAGTGGAGTCTTTCCCTGGGCTCTGTTTGGCTCTCAGTAAGACAGGTCTATACCTTTTCTTCTCGTTTATGGAGAGGGCAATATGCATAAATCTGAAAAGTTACCTTCTGAAAGTGAGAAGGGGCTTAGATTGCTGCTTCAGAACTGTGGAATTATTTGGAATGTTTTGCAAATGGTTGCTACAAAACAACTAAAAAGATAATTACAAAATGTGTACATCACAACGTGCTTTTAAAGACATTATGCATCGTGCTCACACTCCCTTAAATGTTGTTCCCAAAGGTGCTCAGCCTCTAGCCCAGCTGGAATCTCCAGGAAAAGGCAGAGACAATTTGGCAAAAAAGAAACGGGAGGAGGGGGCCATGAAAGTAGAAAGCAGCCCTGCAGTTAAAGATCAACCCTCAGTTAAATGTCACCTTTGGGCAGGCTGGCCTCAGGCGGAGTCAGGGACAAAGGGAGCAGCAGCAGTAGGATAGGACTGGGGTGTTCTCCATCTCATTCAAGTCAAGGAGAGTCTGGTCCAGCATCCTTTGTGTGCAGAGGTTCTCCTCTTTGGTGCATTTCAGTTTGTCTTCCAAGTCATCAATTGTCTTTTCCAGCATGGCCACCTATCTCTCAGCAAACTCAGCACAGGTCTCTGTTTCCTTGAGTTTATCAGTAAGAATCTTGATCTCTTTCTCATATTTCTCTTCTCTTGGAAAGGACTTTTCTTCAGCAGCACTTAGACACTTCAGATTCTGGTCTGTCAGTCTGATCTGCTCATCTATTTTTTGGCAACGGGACTCTGCCAGCTCAGCTTGTTCCTCTGTGCATTCCAGGTCTCCTTCAGTGATCACCAACTCACGAACCACCTGTTCTTCTTCTTTTTTTTTTTTTTTGTAACCAAAACTTTCATCCCAAGGATTCTCACAAAACATATTACAAATGACAGTATGAAAAAAAATCTTGCACAGTAAATCAAAGTTCAGCTCTACAATGTACCCTTAAACTGGCAGGTCATTTTTGAAATCTCAGATTTGCACATAATGTCATGAACAGCCATGTATTCATATACAGCAATCAAATAAGAAACTTATGACCTAAAGCAAAGATAAACTTCCTTGAAACTTAACAGATTCTATACCAACTAGGCAACCTCTGCCCAGGATAAGCATGAGTTGGCTTTTTCAAAAACCTCTAATTTAATAGTGCAGCGTTTTTTTACCCAATGGCTTGTGTTTCACAGCAACTTTTTTTTTTTTTTTTGGGGAGACGGAGTTTCGCTCTTGTTACCCAGGCTGGAGTGCAATGGCGCGATTTCGGCTCACCGCAACCTCCGCCTCCTGGGTTCAAGCAATTCTCCTGCCTCAGCCTCCTGAGTAGCTGGGATTACAGGCACGCACCACCATGCCCAGCTAATTTTTTTTTGTATTTTTAGTAGAGACGGGGTTTCACCATGTTGACCAGGATGGTCTCGATCTCTTGACCTCGTGATCCACCCGCCTCGGCCTCCCAAAGTGCTGGGATTACAGGCTTGAGCCACCGCGCCCGGCCCCACAGCAACTTTTAAAGACGGCTTGTTCAACTATAGCTGCATCCTATATCCCAAAAAAGTAAATCTTAGTTCAATTTTTGCCAGTTGTTTCTGTATGAAAAAAAAAAAATTCACACTTCTGCTGGGCGGGTTTAGAGGTTTATTATCAGTCTATGCATAACTCAAATTCAAAGCAAATTCAATTTTGCTTAAGGGAACATTGTAAAGTAACAATTCTTGGTATTACATGCCTCATATGATCCATTTCAAACCATAGAGAATTACACCTTTGTGTCACTGTTTCAAAAGACGAACAAATTTGAACAGCTAAAACATCTTAAAAATGCACCAAGCCTATGAAGTCTCAAACAAAACTTGAATTTTCTGTACATACTCCTGTCAAATGAAGTAATTTCCTGTACACCACTTCTCTTGCAAACTGGTCTTCTATTTCCTTTCATTTGACCTAGAACGGCTACGAGACCTAGAGAAGGATGGGGACAGCTTGTGATTTCTCTCCCGAGACAGCGATCTCTCTCTTCTCCTATCTCTAGAAAGGGACCTGCTCCGGCTGCAAGAGAAGCTTCTCCTTCTTGGAGATCTGCGACGAGATGAAGGACTCCTCCTCCGATAATCATCTCGAGAACGAAGGCCCCAAGAGGGAGGTGGGCCACGACTTCTACTTCTTTTTTCACCATTCGACAGTTCTACTCTTAAATGGCAGCCACATGGTGTTCTTCCATCTAGCTCTCTGACAGCATCAGCTGCATCTCGGGGATCTTAAAATTCAACAAAAGCAAAGCCGGGAGGGTTTCTAGCAACCCACACACTTCGGAGTGGTCCATAGTAGCCAAAAGCCCGTTCCAATTCGGTCTTGTTGCCATTGTTTCCAGGATTGCCTACATAAACCTTACAGTCCAGCGGACAGGAATCACGATGCATTTTGAGATCTAGGGTAAAAAATGCACAGGCTCAAATCCAGACGCTCTGATGCGTCTTCCCGCTTTCCTCCGGCCCAACACACACCAATGCTCAAGCTCACCCGGTGTCCACGAAATGGCAGCACAAACCACCTCTTCATACTTCCTATCTGCCTCTTCTGCAGTGTGCTTAGCTTCTTTGAGCTGGATTTCCTAGAGTTCCATCTTTTCTTTATCTTTTAAGGCCTGGTTTCCAGTAATCATACCTCTTTCACTCTCATCAGCAGCTTTTTCTGCTTCTTCCAGCTTTTGCAGGGCAGTGGCCAGGCACTCCTGATCATTGAGCTCCTCTTCAACCTGCTGGATCCTATAGTTCAAGGAGGCCACCTCAGCCTCAGCCTGTTCCAGGCCCACCTCTTTTTCTCAGCTTCTCGCTGGAGGTGCTTAATTCTCTCTTCTGCATCATCTGTCTGCTGCTGCTGCAGAACCTGGATCTTACACTTGACCGCCTCAATGGTGGTGATCCCAGCCATGGTGCCCACCCAGCTGGCTACTACTCACACTCTGGTTCCTGCTTCTTCTGCTTAGTGTTGCAGCTGCTTTTCCTATTCTTCTTCTTCTTTTTTTTTTTTTTTTTTAAAGTTTTGTTCACTTTTGTTTTTAAAGCAACAGACGAAAGGAGATAAAAATGTCAAGGAAATATTGACTTGAACTTTATAAATATTAGTTTTGAGTGGGGATGATAAAGCAGATAAAAGAAAGGAGCTGAAGTATGACTGAAGCAATCAGATTTCTCCAAGCTTGATTTTCAAATGGTGCATTCTATGGATGTAATTATAAATGGCAAGATTCTTTAGCATTTGGAGTTAATTAAATTGTGAGGAGCTTATCAGGGCACATTTTGTGTTCTTCATTACTTTGGGAAAATTTTCTGAGGTTCATTAAGAAAAATATTTTTAAACTGTGAAATCCAAGTAACTGGAGGAAAAGCAAATTGAGCAATTTGTTCTTTTCTCTTTGAGGTTTGATAAGGTGTACAAATTTATTTAACAAAACAACTTATTTTTCTTTAAAAAATTTAGATCAATAACCCTGAAAAAGTTTTTTTTTTTTTTTTTTTTATAACTTTTTGAGATGGAGTTTCGCTCTTGTTACCCAGGCTGGAGTGCAATGGTGCGATCTCAGCTCACCGCAACCTCCGTCTCCTGGGTTCAGGCAATTCTCCTGCCTCAGCCTCCTGAGTAGCTGGGATTACAGGCACACGCCACCATGCCCAGCTAATTTTTTTGTATTTTTAGTAGAGACGGGGTTTCACCATCAAGGATGGTCTCGATCTCTTGACCTTGTGATCCACCCGCCTCGGCCTCCCAAAGTGCTGGGATTACAGGCTTGAGCCACCGCGCCCGGCCTGAAAAAGTTTTTTTTAAAAAATTCAGTGTGATAACTTTATGCTTTCCATAAATACATATTTTTTGAATATTTAAAGTGACAGTTTCAGAAACATAACTGAATAGCTTGCTTGTTCTTGAACTAAGAGTTTGAATCTATGATGAACTAAATTATGTCTTCCCAAGTAGTTCACTTAGACACTGACTTGTTACCCTCTTTCACAAGTCCAGTTTTTCTGAGTCTGGACCAGTTACCTTAGGATCACTTTGGGTTTTTAGGTGTGATTATTATATTGTGATAATGCCAAAAAAAAATGCATTCTTTTTAGAGATACAAACTGAAATGTTAATGGATAAAGTGTCAAGATATCTGGGATTATTTTAAAAATAAATTATGATGAAGGGTAAGTGAGTGGCAATGTAGATGAAACAAGACTGGCCATGTGTTTATTTATGGAAGGTGGGTGAGGAGTATGTGGGTAATGTTATACTATTCTCTCCAATTAAGTTTAAAATTTATATTGCAGATAATTAAAAGAATCACTGTGGTCTTGTTAAAAAGTAGAGTCTCAAGGATGAAAGATAGAAAATGGCATTTTAAGTAGTCCACTTGTGCTCACTGAAGTTTGAGGATCACTGGTAAAAAGTTTCCTTGTGTACCTCACTCATCGTATTCATGTCATCCACGTATGTATTTCTTGGTTTTCATCGTTCACCCTATTTGCAGAATGCAATAGCAAATTAAAGCAATTATACTGAATTTGGATAATTCAAATTAAAAAATTTTGTTTCAAAGGGTTCAAAAAGTAAAGCCAAATAAACTCTTTAAAAACCTCTATTTCTAACTGAAATATTCAGATAAATAACTTTGGCTTTTTTCTCACTTTCAGCTGGAAATGGATTACTTTTGTAAATGTCTTAAATTTCTTCTCTTACCAGGGCATCAGCATCCTATTCCAGACATCTACTTGCTTTCAACACTAGTTTCTCATTCTTTCTCAGATGTACCATATTACTAGGCACCTCTGAGACTTTACCTATGAGATTCCCTTAATTGAAACATTCATCAACCCCCCTTTTTACCTGTTTAATTTCTGTACCTTCACCCCACCGCTAACACCTCTCACTTATTCAGGAAGGCCATGTTGGATTGCCTTCTATTCTTTTGTGGTTCCATAATACACTGTAATACGATAGTGCTATAATGCTGAACATGTCGTATAGCACTTTATACTTTGTCATAAGACTCTATTTTTCTACCCTCTTCTCTCTCCTTAGCTAGATTATAAAGTCAGTTGGTTAAGGATTGTGTTTTTTATGACTGTATCTCCACTGCTGTGTACTGTGCCAGGAAATACTTACTGTGTAAATAGTAAACAACTGAATGAGTTCACAAAATATCGATCTAACATGTCTAAGAATCTTAGGAAGTGTTGCAGTCATTCTTTAAGGCAAAAAGAAAGAAAGAAAAAGAAAGCTTCCTGGATATAAGACACACTTCTTGGTCATAAATACTGTATAGATCTTGGAAAAAAGTTCCTGAAAGGAGGACTAAACTGCAGCAATAATTTGTCTTGAGTATAATGATGTTGATAATCACTTTGCTTCCATGCTTAGCCTTTTTCATGTATCTTTATTAATTTCTCATAATTAAATAATACCTCTTAACCCTATTTTTTTCCAATATTTTATTGTAAAAAATTTCAAATGTCCAAAAGAGTCAAAAGAATTGTGTAGACTGGGCACGGAGGCTCACATTTATAATCTCAGCACTTTGGGAGGCTGAGGCAGGCAGATCACTTGAAGCCAAGAGTTCGAAACCAGCCTGCCAAAATAGCTTTGTTAGTCCGTTTTAACACTACTGATAAAGACATACATGGGACTGGGCAATTTACAAAAGAAAGACTTAATGGACTCACAGTTCCATGTGGCTCACTCTGTCACCCAGGCTGGAATGCTGTGGCACAATCTTGACTCACCACAACTCCCACCTCCCAGGTTCAAGAATTCTCCTGCCTCAGCCTCCTAAGTAACTGGGACTATAGGCTCCCACCACCTTGCCTAGTAATTGTTTTTGTATTTTTAGTAGAGAAAGGGTTTTACCATGTTGGCCAGGCTGGTCTTGAACACCTGATCTCAAGTGATCTGCCTGCCTCAGCCTCCCAAAGTGCTGGGATTACAGATGTGAGCCACTGTGCCCTGCCAGATTTAAGTCTTTTAATTTTTATTTGATTTTTTTTTTTTTTTTTTTTGAGACGGAGTTTCACTCATGTTACCCAGGCTGGAGTGCAATGGCGCGATCTCGGCTCACTGCAACCTCTGCCTCCTGGGTTCAGGCAATTCTCCTGCCTCAGCCTCCTGAGTAGCCGGGATTACAGGCATGCACCACCATGCCCAGCTAATTTTTTTTTTTGTATTTTTAGTAGAGACGGGGTTTCACCATGTTGACCAGGATGGTCTCGATCTCTTGACCTCGTGATCCACCCGCCTCGGCCTCCCAAAGTGCTGGGATTACAGGCTTGAGCCACCGCACCCGGCCGTTGATTTTTGTATATGATGAGAGATAGGGGTCTAGTTTCATTCTTCTGTATATGGATATACAGTTTACCCAATGCCATTTATTGAAGAGACCATCCTTTCCTCAGTGTATGTTCTTGGTACTTTTGTCAAGCATGACTTCACTCTAGGTGTGTGGATTGTTTCTGGGTTCTCTATTCTGTTCCATTGGTCTACTGTCTTTTTTTCTGTGCTGGTACCATACTGTTTTGGTTACTATAGCTCTGTAGTATAATTCAAAGTCAGGTAATGTGATTTCTCTAGTTTTGTTTCTTTTGCTTAGGATAGCTTTGGCTATTCTGGGACTTTTGTGGTTTCATATAAATTTTAGAATTTTTTTTATTCTGGAGAAGAATGTCATTAGTATTTTAATAGGTATTATGTTAAACCTGTAGATTACTTTGGGTGATATGGACATTGTAACAACATTGATTGTTCCAATCCATGAATATTGAATATTTTTCCATTTTTTTGTGTCCCCTTAAATTTATTTCACTATTTTTAAATTTTTATTTATTTATTTATTTTAAAATACATATTTTATTGCACTTTAGGTTCTGGGGTATATGTGAAGAACATGTAGGATTGTTGCATAGGTACAAACATAGCAATGTGGTTTGCTACTTCCATCCCCATCACCTGTATCTGGCATTTCTCCCCATGTTATCCCTCCACAACTCCCTACCCCCCACTCTCCCTCCTCTATTCCCCCACAACAGACTTCAGTGTGTGATGCTCCCCTCCCTGTGTCCATGTGTTCTGATTGTTCAACACCTGCCTATGAGTGAGAATATGCGGTGTTTGGTTTTCTGTTCTTGTGTCAGTTTGCTGAGAGTGATGGTTTCCAGGTTCATCCATGTCCCTACAAAGGACACAAACTCATCGTTTTTTATTGCTGCATAGTATTCCATGGTGTATATGTGCCACATTTTCCCTGTCTAGTCTATCATCGATGGGCATTTGGGTTGGTTCCAGGTCTTTGCTATTGTAAACAGTGCTGCAATGAACATACGTGCGCATGTGTCTTTATAATAGAACGATTTATAATCCTTTGGATATATACGTAGTAATGGGATTGCTGGATCAAATGGAATTTCTGTTTCTCGGTCCTTGAGGAATTGCCACACTGTCTTCCACATGGTTGAACTAATTTACGCTCCCACCAGCAGTGTAAAAGTGTTCC